TGCACCCTCTCTGGTTTGCAAAGAGGGGACAAAAGAGGGAAATTTTATACATATAAAGTCTAAAGAAGAGAGATCTGATAACTGAGGTCAAGGTATAGGGAAGGAATAGTAGATAGTGTTAGAATATTTTGATGGGTAAATATGAGCGGTTATAGAAGTTGGAATGCAATGTGAATGTCAGTATCAGAGCCTGCCTAACAGAAATTGAAGTAGACAACAATCCCCCTTCTTCCCCCCTTTTCAAGTCACAACAGCACTGCTTTTTCGGCTACAGAAAGCAGCTGAGGCTCAATCCCAAAACAGCAGCAGGTTCGGGTCCAAAGTGCAGAGCAGGAGGGCGGGACAGAGTCATCACCAAAGGTTGAGCACAGAAAAAGTGATCTACGAAAACGAGCATGGAAGGGCATGCTACAGGCTAAAGCCAGGCTCAGGAAGGCCTGCTGCGCGGGAGAGAGGAAATCTACAGCCCGGCGTGGGAGAAGAGAACCGTGGGCGCAGAGTAAGTGGGAAGACGGAACAGTGAGTGACCCCGGCCACATGACTCAAGGCAAAGCCGTACTCTACCATTTCTTTAAAGAACCAGCGTAGGTTCCTAGCGCAGAAGCTGGCAGGGATTCCTCTTGAATTCGTGTTTGAAAAATACCCTCAGATTGAAATTACTAAACAAGATGGTAGTGTTTCTGTTTACATGGAAAGCTGAGTTCAGGGGCGGATCTAGATTTTGTAGATATTGAAGCTTAGACAATTCGCGGAGGGTCCTCTTTATGGAAAATGGCACAAAATTAATAATTCAAAACTAGGTACAGGGGATTGGAAGGCACCCATACAGGGGAGGGGCCCCAAAGCTTATGTTGTGTTAACTGCAAGGTAAAATCTGCTTGAGTGGAACAGAAGGAGCCCGGGCAGACAGACGTCCAGATCCTACGTGTGTCATTTCAGCAGAAGGAGCCCGGGCAGACAGACGTCCAGATCCTACGTGTGTCACTTCGGCAGAAGGAGCCCGGGCAGACAGACGTCCAGATCCTACGTGTGTCACTTCGGCAGAAGGAGCCCGGGCAGACAGACGTCCAGATCCTACGTGTGTCATTTCGTAGCTTTGGAATCTTGGGCAATTTAGTTTTCCTGTCTGTGAAACTCAATTTCTTACCTATAAAAGAGGAATAATGCCAGTCTTTCTGGCTTGTCAATAAAGACTAAATGAGAGATGTATGTGAAGGTGCCTAGGATGTCCCATGACTGCTAATATGGATGACTTTATGTGGTGCTAAGTTTTGGAAGGATGATTGTTGATGAAAAGTGAGTATCGGCCAGGCGTGGTGGCTCACACCTGTAATCCCAACACTTTGGGAGGCTGAGGCGGGCGGATCACCATGTCAGGAATTCGAGACCAACCTGGGCAACATGGTGAAACCTCGTCTCTACTAAAAATACAAAAATTAGCCAGGTGTGGTGGTGGGCTCCTGTAATGGCAGCTACTTGGGAAGCTGAGACAGGAGAATCGCTTGAACCCAGGAGGCAGACATTGCAGTGAGCCAAGATCATGCCACTGCACTCCAGCCTGGGCAACAAAGAGTGAAACTTCGTCTCAAAAAAAAAAAAAAAAAAAGAAAAAGAAAAGAAAAGTGAATATCGATTATTCTGGTCATTATTGTTTGGAACTCTGATTCCTGGAGGTTAAGGAAATGTTTAAAGTATCTGCTGAGAGAGCTAAGCACTCCTAGGCTTTTATCTGTATTCAGGAGATGGCAGATGGCACTCTACTGTCTTCAGGAAGCTTGCAGACTAGAGGTGCGAGTCTGGGCTATCATCATTGGCTGTTGGAATTGGGAATATAAGAACTCTTGGAATAACTAGAGTTGCTGAAGGAAGAACTGTGGCCAGAGCAGTTAGAAGAGGGGTGATCAGACCAGCAGTCTCTTTCTTTCCAAGCCTAAGATCAGCTGTGGAAGACTCAGAGCTGATGTGAAGCCTGGGGATGGCCCAATCTTACTCTTGTTTTATGCATGAAAAACAGAGTCCTAGAAAGGCAACATGGATTGCCCGAGATTATGTGGCTGATTCGGGTCCTATCCAGGACTAGAATTTTGGAGTTCTTCCTCTCAGGTTATACATTTTTTTCATCACACTGAACTTTGCTCTAACTCATTCTCCTTTTATGCCCCTTCTTTAGTTTTCCTTCTCCATTGTCCCTGTAGCAGAACTCTATGGAAGGCCACCCTGGTCCAACAGTCAGGCTGTGGGACCTTCTTCAGGCTGCTTCTGCCTCTTAGTCTGACATGTAGGTAGAGCTCTCTCCGTTGCTCATTTCTCCATTGGTGGAAACTGCAGAACCGTGGAAGCGAGCAGTACTAGCAGCCAGCAGGCAGGCAGCAGAAAGGGCCCGCGAGGGAGCTTTGGACACCAGTGCTTGACAGGGATGTTTAGAACCTGGAGAGCTTCCAAAGGAGAGCAGTGAAGACAGTGGGTGGGGGTGAGAAGGAAGAACTCTTAGGAAAGATAAAAGGGTTTCAGATTATTTATCTTGGAGAAGAGAAGGCTGAGAGTGGCTTTGAAAAGGAGTTTCAGAGATAAGACCAGCTGTACTACATCTTCCCTGAGGATAGACTAAGAAATTAGCTAACAGCAGCAATTAGGCTGCAGAGCTTTTCACATTTAGCCGCCTCTTAGAGACTTCCAGAGAGCTTTTTAAAAAATCGCAATGTTCAAGCTTCACCTCAGAACAATTAAATCAGAATCTTCTCTTCAGGAGTGGGCGTTAAACATCGGTAATTTCTTTAATGTTTCCCGGGGTAGCCAACATGGATTTCTGATTCAGAAAATTTTAAATTTTAATCTTATGGAATAATTGGGAGGAAAATTGCCCAATGATGTCAAACTATGCTAGGAAAAAAATGTATCTTTTTTTAATGGAGGGAATGGGGTAAAATATAACAAGAGTGGGAAAAGTTGGGATTGGGCTTAGTGTGAAGGTGGAGAATATAGGTAAGAGGGGGTGAAAACCCGTGGCCAAGGCCTTGAGAACAGGTGCAGGTGCCTTCCTCCCACTACAGTCACCACTTTCTGTTACGTCAGTTCACTTCGCCGAGTGTGTGTGGCTATTATGACTGAGAAAGAGAAAAGAAGCCCCGACAGCTGGAATTGGACTGACACTGTCGATTAGGCGTTGTATTGCTAGGAGCTGCCCTGGTGTTCGTTCTCACATACCAATGTCAGGCAAGGCCACTCTGTGATCATGGTGGATCTAGACACAAATAAGATCACTCTATGATGATATCTGAACAAAGACAACAACGTGAACATCGTCCAACCCACACAAATGATCAAACATCTTATGCTGGCTAACACAAGTGACTGCTCCTTCCTTACCAATCACAGCTTTTCGCTTCACTTCGTTTTTCCTGCTTTCTAGATAAAATCCATTAAGATACCCAATTATAAAATTAGTCCTCCTTCCTCACAGCATCCGATCCAAAGCAAAGCCCTACTTCCCGAAGCCTCCTCAAAATCACCTAATACAAATGCATCCAATAACAAGTCCTCAGTGACACCCTCTGACTGAGGCACCTCACAGTTTACGTTGTGTGCACTCTCCCTTGTTGCCGTGAGTAACGAACGCAGCTTAACTGTAGTGTGTTCCTCATGGTCCTTGGCTCACGGGCATTGACACCACACAGTTTGAGCAGGTCCTGTCTGTTTCTTGTTTGGGGAAACCAGGACAGATGAGAGCTGTCATGTTTCCCAGTCATGGGAAACCAGTCGCGTTCCCTTCTGGGTTCCCTCCCTCTCTCTGGGCTGAGACATGAGAGATGAGATTCCGGCCACACTTTGCATTCCACATCAGTTGGCCGCATGACCAGTGCATCAATAGATTTTGCTCATCACAGATAACATCCTGCAGTGGTGTTTAAAAATGTTTAGGATAAAAGACTGTCCAGAGATTGAAGTTCCTTTTTTTAACTGTTGCCACTCTGCCCTCACCCCTCACCACAGCTTGATGGTGTCAGGGCGTCTCCGTTCCCTCAGAACCCCTGCTCACTAACCGTTCATCAAGAACTTCCCACTGAGACTAGTTACATAAGGGTTGCAAACTCTGTGTACTCTGAGAGTTGGACAAGAAATCAGGGAAACAGGGATTGGAAGAAACAGGATAAAATTGGAAAATAACTGCAACTACTTTTCTAGAATTAAAGACAAAAGGTATGATTTTCCTTAATAGGGAGGGCAGAGTAGTACAATTGTGGAACACAGTGGGATGGGAAGAGCCTTCTGATTAGATTTTTTAAGTATTCTTCAGGTCGGATGAGATTTTCAGTGAAAGCAACATTTTTCTTGTCATTTTCATTGTTCACCTCTTTCCTGAGAAAGTTATGTTTAATCCCACGGGCCAGCAATAGCCAAAATAAACAGTACTAGAGTTGTGCTTTTTAGTGTTTCTCTTGTCTTTTTTCCTCCACCTCTAGACTTAAAGTATAGATAGCATGGTAGCTATAAGTAAATAATGGACTTTAGAATTCTACAAACCTGAGTTCAAATCCTGGGTCTACCATTTACTAGTTATGTGGCCTAGCAAGTAATTTAATTATCTTTAAGGCTTTGTTTTCCTATCTTTAAAATGATCTTGTCAGTAATTCTTGTGTCATAGGTTTGTTCTGAGGATAAAATGAAATGGTGCCTGTATAGCACTTAGCACCATGCCTGGCACGTTTGAAATGCACAACAAACGTTAGTAACGGTAATGGTTGGTGTTATTAACATTCTTTGTCGTAAGTCTTGTTTCTTTCAGACATTGGGTCTGATGTGGTGGCTCACGCCTCTAATCCAAGTGCTTTGGGAGGCTGAGGCAGGATTGCTTGAGGCTAGCAGTTTAAGACCAGCCTGGGCAACATAGCAAGACCCTATCCCTATAAAAGATTAAAAAATAATTAGCTGGGCATGGTAGTAGTCCACGCTACTGGGGAGACTGAGTTGAGCGGATCCTTTGAGCCTGGGAGGTTGAGGCTGCAGTGACCTATGATTGTGCCATTGCACTCCAGCTTGGGCAATAGAGTGAGACCCTCATCTCAAAAACAGAAACGAAAAAAGAAAACAAATTGGAGCTTATAGAATTTAGGTGAATTATCCCATCTGGGATCAAACAGAAAAGTCTTCACAGTTTTTAGTGACATCTCTGTTTTCTGCATGTAACATCCCAGAACTTTTCACAGCAGGCAGCAGGGTCAAGTACTTGGGCTCTAATAGAGTGTAAATAAAAATCTTAAAAAAAAAAAAAAAAAAAAAGAACGAAAAAAAGAAAAAACTTTATTTTAGACTTAGAGAAAAATTGCAAAAATAGTACAGAGAGCTTCCATCTTTCACTCAGCTTCCCCTAATGTTAGCATCTTTCACAGCCATAGTACAGTTGTTGGAACGAGGGAATTAACATTGGTAGGGTACTAGTAAACTAAAGACCTTATGCAACTTTCACCAGTTTTTACATTCGTGTCCTTTTCTATTCCAGGATCCTATCTAGGATCCCATTCAGGACCCCACATTGCATTTGGTGGTTGTCATTTTCCCTTAGTCTCCAGCAGCCTAAAACACTTCCTCAGTCTTTCTTGTCTTGTCTGCCTTGTCTTTCGTGACACTTTTGACACTTTTGAAGAGTAGTGATCAGTAATTTTGTCAAATGCCCCTCACTTTGGGTTTGCCTTATGATTGTGATTGAACCACACTTTTGGCAAAAGAATATCACAAAAATGTTGTGTCCCGCTTAGCACATCATATCCATGCTTCATGATACAGATAGATATTGATGTCTTATTACTGGTGGTGTTGACCTTGGTCATTTGGTTAAGGTGGTTTCTGCCTGGCTTCTCTACTTCAAAATTACTATTTTTCCCTTTGTAGTTAATACATATCTTGGGGGAGACACTTTGGAATTGTAAAAATTCTAATCCTCCTTGAACTTTTACCCACCAATTTTAGCGTTCATTGGTAGATCTTGTCTGCAGCAATTATTATAGTGGTGTTTGTCTAGTGGTGATTTCCTATTTTTCTCTTTCCTTCTACATTTATTAAGATTTCTTTTTCTTTGAGATGGAGTCTTGCTGTGTTGCCTCAAACTCCTGAGCTTAGGTAATCCTCCCACCTCAGCCTCCCTGAGTAGCTGAGATTACAGGTGCACGCCACCATGCTCGGCATCCTTCTATATCTATTTATTGGAATTCAACTGCAAGGAAGAATGGTCCTTTCATTCCTACTTACTAACATTGGTTATTTGTATCAGCATGAACTTAATAGTGAATTTTATTCTTTGGGCTACAATCCCATACTATCATTATTCATTTTGTTGTTCGAATGATTTCAGTTATAGCAAGCCATAATTTGTTTAGTCTGTTCTACTTGCTGTTTTCTTTTCTTTCAGTGTGATATTCGAAAAGGGATCCAAAAAGTCAACAGGTTCCTGACTCCTGCAGTTAAACAGAACTACATCTCTTAATTTAAAGGTCTCCAGAGGAGAACCCACCACTTCCTTTGCCACCTTGATGTTGCTCAGAAATGTTTATTCCACTCCTGGTAGAGTCAAACAATTTTTGAGAGAGCATATCATGGCGTACTGTCATTTAAACATACCTGGGATGAACTTGGTACAAACCAGGACTTCCTAGGCCTGCTTTTTGCGTGGTTCACTTTGTTTTATACAGTCCTGTTGTGGGAAGCGCAGCCTTCAGTATCCTCACTAACAATCTCTAGTGAGTCTTAAAACTTACGCAGTCTCTTGAGTAAGAACTCTTGAATACTAATTCTGGCGTTACTTGTTTTCAGGTTTCTTGACTTTGCACCCAGCAGACCAAAGGATGATGGCACCGTGAGGTAGATGCAAGGCTAGTCACGCCTGTTTTGTGTGGAACCCCAGACAGGAAGTTGTGAGGGACCGTCACCAACATTTATCTACCAGTGGTGCTCAAGCCTTTTGTTGTTGTTGTTTAACTTCTGTCAACCTAAGCAGGACAAAAAACCTACAATAGCCATTCCCACTTTATAGGGGAAAAAGAAATTGGGGATAACAAAGATTTGGAGAGGAATAAAATAGGAGTCAACATGTGGTGACATGGCAGCAGTTACGTAAAAACAAAAGAGTTGGTAAGGAAAGCCAACATTCCTTAATACAAGAGCAGCAACTTACAGCCAACTCAGGATAAGCCTGATGATGTCCTTATCACTGACAGTCTTTCCTGGAAACTGGAAATTGCAACCGTTTCCATATATGAGGACACAGAAGGGGCTGTGCAACATTGCCAAAGGCTGAATAGTATCTGAGAAAACACCAGTTATCTGGTAAGTTTAGATTACAAATGCCAAAGTTTATAATGCATAGTAGGCCATTAGTAAGTACCACCCAAGGATGAGTAAAAATGGAAGTCAAGAGCACTGCTTTGAAGATGGTCTTTTTTTATGTGAGTTTGCAGGCTGTCTCAGGACCCTTTTGGTTTATGGCTTTAGACGGCTCAATCTAACAGATGAAAGCTTGAAAGGGGAGAGGAACAGGGGCAGCTGAAACATAAGAATAATTTCCAAGAAGCTTCTGGGCCACCCTCCAGGTGTTGCCATGCAGTGTTTTCCTGCCCCTGCCCCATGCCCTTAAGTTAGATGAGGGATGTAGGAAATGGAAACTACCTTAGACTCTTCGATTCATCTTTCTTTCCACACCTCTCTGTCATCTCAAGATGTCTGTCACCTCACTCATTGCCCCATCCCCTCCCTCACTCATTCTCACAGTCTGGCCAGAGCCCAGCTTAGCTCAGGGGTTTCTCAGTCCTGTCTCCTTCAAAAGACTTCGCTGCTCACTGTGAATAATCCCTTAAGGATGAATAAGAGCTACCATTTATAGTGAGTCACCATCTCCTGAAATCTCAAGCTGGACAGTCACCTATGTAGGACTCAGACCCCACACTCTCCGGTGTCAAAGTCTAAGCAGGTTTCCCCTGCATGCACTGTGCTTCGGCACATGGCCGAGGTGGGACTCTGCCCTGTCCTAGACTCCAGGCTGAATGAACTGCTCTCACAGCCGCCTCTGTGGGCTGTTCCTGCAGAAAAACAAAGCTCCCTGGATGACCTCTGCCTCGTGCTCACTGCCAGCTCCTTCACTTATGACAGCTTTAGGGCTTTGCTTTATTTTAAACTTTGGCACTTCCTTTTCTCTATTGATTTAAAAAATATTTTAAAATTATAGCGTATTATTTAAAAATCCAAACAATATTGGTAAAGTGGGGAAAAAAACTCCCTTACTGCCATCTCCTGATTTCAGTTCCACTCTACAAAAGTAACTACTATTAACTATTTAGTGAAAAATTTTTCAGACTTCTGTGTGTATAAATGTCTGTGTATGTTCGGGAAGTTTTTCTGACATCTTGGAGTTCTGTATCTATGTATCTTTGTTCTAAATCATCGTCCATTCCACATTGCAAGCTGCAAAACGGTAAGATAAATGCATTTTTAAATTAATCTACACAGCACCCGACCAAAGGAACACCTATTCTTGATGGATTCAAGTGCTTTGTAGGAGCACTTGTGTTGGAGACAGAGGTGGGAGGCAGGATCCCTCCAGAGAGACCCTGAGCTCACCAGGTGGGAAGCGCACATGAGCTCCGGGGAAGAGACCATGCTTCATAAGCTCACCAGCAACTGGCCCGACCTGCCAGGGTGTGCACACTCCCCAGACGGCGGAATCACTCGTGCAGGTTGGCCACCCGAGGCAGGGGAGGGGAGAAAAGTGGAGGGGGAGGCACAAGGGTGGAATGTGGGCTGGGCCAAGTTTAGAATTACGGAACCACACTTTAAATAGCCGGCACCTTCCCCTTCCCCCTTAGATCATTCTCCCCGACTGGACCTCTGGCGGCAACTTCACTAAGGTTCGGAATGTTTTCTCTTTTTTTTTTTCTGTTTCTGGGTCTCAGTCTGCAGGTTGGTGGGATCCATGGGACTTACAACCAAAGGACTTTTTTCTCACCCTCTCCTAGAAAATATGCTTCTGACATTTATGTGTGCAAATGCCAAGATTATATGCTACTTTCTTGACTTTCTGCAACTTGGGTGGCTGTTGACTTAAGTGACAATGTGATTTAGAAAGAGAGAGCCCTAGATTGAGAGGAAAGACAGTTGGATTTTACTCCAAGAGAAATCGGATTTAAGTCTGAGAAAAGAGAACAATGACCAACTCTTTGACAGGACTGAAAGAAAACAAAAATTTGAGTACCTGTTATTCTATTAAGTGCGTATGTATATGTATATTTCCTCATTTAATTCTTACAGCTCAGTATATCCTAACAGTCATCCCCACTTTTACAGATGAACAAACTAAGACTCAGAGTCATTCATTAACGTCTCTGAAGTCAGACGTTGGTATGAGAAAAAACTAACGTTTGAACCTGGTCTCATCTGACTCCACAGCTCATGGCCTTTCAGACACAACACGCTACGTCTGAGAAGCAGCTCTAATGAGGCTAAGGGAGCCAGGAAAGTGCTACTGTTTCCCCCAGAGTCTGGGAGGGTGGAGAAGGGACGGCTTTTCCATCACCGGGAGGGATCCATCCGCTGGTAAAGGGAGGGGAGGCCTCCAGCAAAGTCAGTACCTTGACAACCTTCCCGAAAGGACTGGGGAGCCCTCTTGGGACCAGTTACTTGGGTTTCTCCTTTGTAGAAAGGAGCTCATTCCCTAATTTATCAAATAAACATAGATACCTGCTGTTCCCTGACTTTCTTTTTTCTTTTCTTTCTTTCTTTTTTTTCCCCTGAGACGGAGTCTCGCTTTGTTGCCCAGGCTGGAGTGCAATGGCGTGATCCCGGCTCACTGCTGGTTTCATCCATCTCCTGGTTTCAAGCGATTCTCCTGCCTCAGCCTCCTGAGTAGCTTGGGTTACAGGTATGTGCCACCACGCCCGGCTAATTTCTGTGCTTTTAGTAGAGACAGGGTTTCACCATGTTGGCCAGGCTGGTCTCAAACTCGTGACCTCAGGTGATCCACCCGCCTCGGCCTCCCAAGTGCTGGGATTACAGGCGTGAGCCATCGTGCCTGGCCTGTTCCCTGACTTTCTGACTTCCTGGGTCAGAGCCAAAGGAGAGTCTGTGGCCAGAAGAGGTTACTGCTGAGAAAGTTCTGTTAACATGAACTTTGCTTGAGGCTTAGAAAAAAGTCCGTCTGCCTACTTCTCCAGAAAAGAGGCCACTCTGCAAAATCAAGGCAGAGTCATTAGAAGATGCTTTTAGTAGACATGCCAGTGAACCCAGGCAACCATTGTAATCAAAGGGCTGGGACTGAAAGAGCAGGGGCAGGTGGGTTGAAGTCCCGGCTGTGCAGTTTACTAGCTGCATGGCAGCAGCAGTCACATTATTGAACCTCTCTGAGCTGCAACTTCTTTATTTATAAAGTGGAGGTAATAATGCTTACATGTCAGGGTTGCTGTGAGAATTAAATGAAATGAAGGCATGTGAAGTGCCTAGTCTGTAGTAGTTGCTGACTAAATGGGAGCCACACCCAGTCATCCTCAATCCCAACAGTGTGGAATGGGCCACTTCTGACAGCGAATGGTTAAAACTGTGGCTTTTTGGTTTATGTCATCTTCTCTACTGTCACAGACTGCACTTGTCATTACCAGAAAAGAAAAAGCACATAGCTCATCTCTCCCTTCTGCTGATTTCAGAGACACATAGGAGGGGTACTTAGACCACCTCATCTTACTCACAATTCCCGGTCCCCTCGACTCTCCAGTCCTTTGACAGGATTTTTTTTTAAACTGGCTTTTATTTTTATATTACAAAAGTAAAACATTTTTTGATGTAAGTGTAGAAAATATAGATAAGGAAATGTTCCTATAACCCAGCTGCTGAAAGAAAAACATTTTGGTGGCTATCCTCATCTTTCAGTGCCTATAAATACTTTCTAAGATACTTGTCAAGCATGATCATATGGTGCGTACCGGTTTTTACTATATATTGTGAGCATCCTTTTGTGCCGATACACTTGTTTCTGTAACACAGGTTTTAATGATTATATACAGTCGTCCGTTATGTGAATGTGCCATAATTTATCAACATATCCACCATTTTTGACAATTTATGTACTTTCTGATTTTTCGCTGTTATAAACAATAAATATCCTAATGCTACACCTTTCGCTCACAATCACAATTATTTCCTCAGGGTAAATTCCTGCGAGGGCAATTGGTGGCTCTGAGGACTTGTAAAATCCCCTCCTTTCCACGTGTCCCAGCATAGAGAGTAAAGAGACGGAAGCACATGCTAATCCCGGTGAGGCTGACCGTAGGGCGGCAGGGAGAATTTAGGCAGCACAGCGGCCCGTGAACTCCTCCATGTCTACAATCCTCAACCCAAGAGGGCCTCATAGTGGAAGCAAATGCTGTCCATCAGCACCAGCACTTTCCTCCTGAAACAGGAAAGGGATATATACGCTCAGTAGCTGTCACCCAGCTTCCACCACTGAGAAGTGCTAAGGAGGACACGGTCTGCAGGGAAGGGCACAGCATTCACCTCTTCCAGGGCGTTCATCCTCTTTTGGATTTGTTGGAAGAGGAGGAGGAGGAGGGGTTTCCTTCTGGGGTTCCCAACAGTAACAGGGCATCCCACTTGTTTTCCAGGTGGGATGGATAGCAGGGCCTCAGGCACAGCCAGTAATGGAGAGACAAAGCCAGTGTATCCAGTCATGGAAAAGAAGGAGGAAGATGGCACCCTGGAGCGGGGGCACTGGAACAACAAGATGGAGTTTGTGCTGTCAGTGGCCGGGGAGATCATTGGGCTGGGCAACGTCTGGAGGTTTCCCTATCTCTGCTACAAAAATGGGGGAGGTGAGAGCCCTTGTGCCGCCCCACCCACTCCTGGAAGGACGATGCTTCCATCTCCTGCGCTTACGGCCCCTCTGGGGAGTCCCATAGATGCATAGGATTCTGGAGGTGGAAGGACGCTTAGAGGTCATCCAGGACTCTCTGTAAGAAACTAAGACCTAGAAAGATGTGTGACTATCCCGTGACCATCCCAGGGCTCTTTCTGTTGTAATGCGGCGTCGTAGAAATGTGAGCACAAGCTGGAACCAGGTGGAGGAGAGTTTGGATTCTGGCCCCGCTGCTCACCCTCTGTGTGATCTTGGACAAGTTACTTAAGCTCTCAGAGCATCAGTTACCACTCCTGCAAATCGAGATAATAATGTCTGCCTTTCAAGGTCGTCGTAAGGATTAGAGATCATGTGTGTAAAGAACTTAATAAATAGTAGCTTTGTTGATGATGTCAATACCAAACTGTTCTGTGGTCTTGAGATTCCCCAGCCTTGGCCTGGTGTCTTTTTCCTACTCTGCTGGCAGGGGGTGGTTCCCTAAGCCATCCCTTACCCAATCCCTTCTAGTATAGGCTCTCTTTTTAAAAATTTCCCGGTACAAATGTGTGCGTGTTGTAGGGAGAGCATTACCTCCAGCTCTTCACTGTGTCATCACTGGCTTCTCATTCACCTCTCTTCCAGCCGCCTGGGGTAATTCTGCTATCCCCGCAGCAGTGACAGAAACGTTGCAACCACTAACCCACATTCAGGGAATTTTGTATTTCTGTGGGAAGCCCCAGAGGGATTTTCCCAAGTACTGGAGCGTTCTGGGTGACCAGTGGGCTAGGAATAGCTCCTTGCTTATGGGTAAAGCTGATGGGGCTGGGGTTCCCAGGTCTGATTTGGTAGTGAGACTGCAGCCAGGCCTGGAGGAACATGGAATACAGAGGTAGGCCATCAGGGAAAATGACGAGAGGAGTGGCAAGTTCATGGGCTACAGGATTTGAGGTTCTTTAAATCAATACCTACCCTTTTGCAGGGGAGTAAGAGCTGCCAAACGCATCCAGCTTGAGTCTCACAAGGATTTTAGCGAAAGAAAGCCTTCAATACAGAGTGGAGGTGTGGGAACTGGAGGAGAACACGAGAGATGCTCTGGGCCAATGGAGTCTGGTTCCCAGGTCTGCGGCAACTGGGGATTGTCCCTGGGTTGGAGGTTAACTTGTGTTTCCAGAGGGATGAAAATGGGCTGGTGTGTCCCTTCTTCCTGGGAATTTCTGGCCAGTGGCCTGAAATCCTAGGAATTTGCTCAGTTTGCACTGTGAGGGAAGAGGGAAGGTCTACACACTTTTTACCTGGTGCTGAGTGCTCCACGCGCTTGTTTAGGAATTTAGGCCTGAGTACCCTCCCTCTGGAGAATCAGGGGAGACGGAGCTGGCCCAGGGCGAAAGCTGGAGGCTTGGGGACTAAGCTGGCGTTGGGACTCTGGGTCTGGAACCTGGTAACCAGCTCAGCTCCTCACATGGCAGAGATTAGGAGATGAGCAGCTTTCCCCAAGCCTCTCTGGAATTGGGTAAAGGTTGGCCTGGGAATTAGCAGGAATGGCACGAAGAGGTAGGAGAGATTGCCTTCCAGGTCTAATGCAAACTACTGGGCTGACAGGGGCAAGTGGAGGGGAGCAGTGACAGGGACGCGGGGGATGAGGGACTCTCCCTGGTCCTTTGTCTGCCAGTGTTTGGGTCCCAGGGCTCTGTGGTGAGCCTGTGTGGGCCTGGGAATGTGTTGACTGTGTCTTGTGTGGGAACAGAGGCCTGAGGGGAAAAGAGCCCCCACAGCCCTTGGTTGTTCACGTGGGTCCTGTGTGGGGAGGTGGAGGCAGCAGGGCGGAGGCTGTGGCCTCCTTCTCCCTGGGTAGAGCCTGCCTTCCAGCACGCTGATTCCCTGGGGAGTCCTGCCATGTTTGGGAATCCTGCCATCCAGTCGAGTTCTCTGTTTAACCCTTACACTGCCTGCCCATAACTTCTTCCCTCACCAAGTGCGGGGCCTGAGCACTCCTCTTCGCCGTTCGCCGATGGACGGCTTCAGCTGGAGGGGAGTGTTCTGAGGGACTGGGGAGCTGCAGGCAGGGCCCAGGTTTGCTCTGGAGGGCGAGTCACCCAGGGCCGCGGGCTGGGTTAGTGAAATGGCTCCTTTACCACGGTAAGCGGGCTGATCAAGGATGTGTGTGGTCAGTAGAGGAACCTGGACCTGCCTACTTTTCTGTTGTTTTGGTGTTCTCAGCAGTTTAACCTTTCTGTCATCAGTTAACTCCTCTCGCCTCCCAGGCAAAGCAAACTCCTTAAACTTCATCTCGTCATCTCCCTGTCCCTTTGCCGAAGAAGAGACTGCTGCCCCTTCCCGAAAGGACCCTTTGCTGCTGATATGGGCAGGAGGCTGCGAGATGGAGACCCTTAGATTGGTTTGACCCCTTTCCTCCTGGTTTAGTGCTTTTATTTGAACTCACCATTCTCAGATTGGGGCCTGGACTCCTGGGCAAGGGAAGAGTGTTCTGAGCAAGCCCTGGAGAGGATGCTGGGATACTCCAGGGTGTGCCATCCTCCAGTAACGCACCCTGTCAGCCTGCTTCTGGGCCCTTTCTTGAAATTCACAGCTCCAAGTAGCCACTCTTGTGCTTGGCGGGGAGGGGAGGGCGATCAAGGAGTTTGATTTGTCGTCGTATTTGTTTAGTGAGAAGCTCAGGGATGAAGACGTCGCCAAAGCACAATTTTACTTCCAAACTAAAAATATGAGTGACATCTTTGGTTTCTTCCAGCGTCAACATTTGGTAGATCTAATTTGACATGAGTTCCAGAGCAGGGAAAGGGCTGAGGCAGGGCTGTGATAGAACACAAGGCAAACAGCTGAAAACTGTAGTCAAAAGGCAGGCAAGCTGAGAAGGTGATACAAAGAAGCCCATCCGAAGTCGGAAGCAACAGGGAGGCTTTTAGGGAGGGGAGTGAGAGGGATGCCCACCTCCACCGTCTCCTAGGTAAATAATCTCCCTGCTGTCCAGGACCTGTGGCTGATCCACCCCCAAGCACCTGCTTCATCCTAATGGCTTTAGAATTTCCAGGCTCTGTCCGTTGCCTCGGCGCACACCCAGCCAAGCCCTGAGGCTGACTGTGTCATTCACCAGCAAATACGTACTGAACACGTAGCATAAGCCAGGAATCGTTCTAGGTGGTTGGGATACATCTATAAACAAAACGGACCAATTCCCTGTCCTCACAGGGCACACATTCTAGAGGAGGGAGACAGGCAATGCACAATAAACGGGATAAACGTGTAAATTAGGTAGCATTCCCGAATGAATGAGTGGTATAGGAAAAGAACGACGGGAGCTGGGTGAAGGGGATCAGGAGTGTGGGTGGTGGCAATTTTTAAAACGGTGGTCATTGAGAGCATTTGAGCAAAGTCTTGCCAGGAGTGAGAGAATTGGCCTTGTGGATATTATGGGGTGGGGTGAAAGTGCTTTGCTCCAGGCAGAGGAAACAAAGGTTGAAACAAAGTGAGAGCCTGGCTGGCTTGTTTGAGGGGGACTTGAGCCTGGAGCTGGGCAAGTGAATAGAAGGTAAGGTCAGGGAAGAAAATGGGCTGGGACAGGGAGGCGGGCAGATGAGGTATGCCAGGTTGGCCACTCTCAGACTTCAGCTTTTGCTCTAGTGACATTCAGATGCAGGCAGGGCTTTGAGCAGCAGTAATCTTACATTTTTTTTTTCCCCGAGATGGAGTCTCGCTCTGTCACCCAGGCTGGAGTGCAGTGGTGTGATCTCAGCACACTCAGCGCACCTCCTGGGTTCAAGTGATTCTCCTGCCTCAGCCTCCTCAGTAGCTGGGACTACAGGTGCGCACCACCATGCCCGGCCAATTTTTATATTTTTAGTAGAGACGAGGTTTCTCCATGTTGGCCAGGCTCGTCTCCAACTCCTGACCTCAGGTGATCCACCCACCTTGGCCTCCCAAAGTGCTGGGATTACCGACGGGAGCCACTGTGCCTGGCCAGTCATCTTACATTTTAAAATAATCTCTAGCTGCTATGTTGAGAACTGAGTATAGGGGAGTGAGGGCAGAAGCTGACCAGTTATAAGGCAAAAATCTTGGAGTCATCCGTAATTCTCTCATAACTGTTGACTGTACCCAAACATGCGGGTCCTGGGAGCTTCAGGGCCTCTCCAGCTCCCTGGACCCTGGTTGCTGGCAGAATGAGTAACTCAGCATCCAGAATGCCTGGGACTGGATCCCCCCACCCATGAGATGTGCAGGACCCGACCACTTCTCATCCCCTCCACTGCTAGCACCCATCTAAGCAATCCAAGAGTTTTCACCTGAGTGACTGGAAGGAAGGAGCTGCCATTCACTGGGATGTGGAAGGCATGAAGGGAGTAAGCTTTTGTTGTGGGTTTTTTTGTTTTGGTTTGTTTTTTAATAGAGATGGGGTTTTGCCATGTTGGCCAGGCTGGTCTCAAACTCCTGACCTCAAGTGATCTGCCTACCTCGGCCTCCCAAAGTGCTGGGATTACAGGCATGAGCCACTGTGCCTCGCCCCAGAGGAGCAGGTTTTGAAGGGAAAGTAAGGGGGTGAATTTTGGGAAAGTTGAGTTGAGGTCTCTATCGGATGTGCAAGTGGAAATGGCAACTGGGCAATAGAAGGTGAGTTTGGAGTTGGTGAGAGAGATCTGGCTGGAGGTGTGTATTTGGGGACCATTAGCATTTTGATGGTATAAGAAAAGAAAGTAAGGACTTTAGTGGGTCTGGGAGAAGATGAGAAACCAGCAGAGGAGACAGAAAATGAGAAACTGGTAAAGCAGGATGAAAACCAAGAGAATGGAGTGTTCTGGAAAGCCAAGTGAAGAAATCCCATCAGGGAGGAGGGAGAGATTAACTGCAGCAAAGGCTGCAGATAGGTTACAAAAATGAGGAAAGGAAATTGATTGTTGGTTTTAGCAGCTGGGAAGTTACTGATGACCTTGGTAAGAGCAGTTACGGTGGAGGGCTGGGGGC